ACTTCAGCTAGGCAGGCAGCCATCCATCTAGAGGAGTTAAAAGGGATCTCTGTAAAATCTCTTGCATATAACAAAGCAAGCATAAGTTGATTTACATAACAGCTGATCATCATGAAGACCAATCATTTGTGAGGTCAAGTTTCAGTTTTCCATTCGTTTTTTATTTTTTTATTTGTTTTTTATATATTTTTTTGGTGCAAAATTGTGCATACTTTATTCCAGTCATAGCACTTTAAAAGCTGACAAAGTACCTAATGGAGAAAAGGGAAATGCCATTAAAAGTGACGGATTAAGAGAACAAGACAAAAACCCAAAAAAGTAAGGTCTTTTATGAATCAGTTGTCCTTTTTCGGTGCAAACAGTGCATACTTCATTCTAGTTACAGCAGTTTTCATGGCCAGCCTCAGGAGGAAATAGAGAGCTTGAACAGTTGAAGTTGCGTGCGTAAGATGTTGAAATGGGCATAATGTCAACGCAGTAAGAAAGACGTGAAATTTATAGTTTTCTTTATTCATGCAAACCATACATACTTTACTTCCACCTCAACAGCTTTAAAGCAAATTTCCGCACTATATAGGTGTAGTAATGCGTATAATTTTGTCAGTAAGTGCAACATAGTGATTTTTGTGACCTTTACATGATTGCAGGCTAAAGTAGCAAATAAAGTGGAAGTTCTCAAGTTGTTTGGTTTAGGGAATGAAGCAAATGCAAGAGGGATAAAAGACTAAAAGCTATGGGCCAATTTGATGCGCAGAAGTGATCATTGAAGGTCTTCAAAAGTCACTTGTAGCTGTAGAGGAAATTTAGATATTATTATTACAAAGTGTATGTAAAAAAAGAGAATGTATGCAGTGGTGTCCATTTCCGTGGGCTGAGTTTAGATTAAAAGGGGTATAAAGGGGTTAAATTAAGATGTTAGGGGCTGAAGATTGCAGTCATCAATGGAGCAGTGCAGAAGTCATGGAGAAGAGCAAATCGACAAGCCCCGGCAGCAGCAGAAGGTAAGCAGAATTCTATGAGCTTCCCCTCCCTTGAGTCTCGCTTGGGTTGTGAATATATAAACAAATCAAAGGAATGGTCTTTTTGCTCTTGTCAGGTTTGAAATGCAGTGAAGGTCAGATGAACATTGTGAGGGAGATGAAGTGGTGTTCAGTCCAAGAATATGGTGAGAATCTTTTTCTTCTTTTTACTGTTTCTGAGTAGTAGAATACATGTAGCAAGCTAGAAGATGTGACATGTCAACAAGTTTTTTGTCTCAGTACAGTACAGTTCAGTTCCTCTACAAGAATACTTTAATTAGTGTACCTGTACCATTACCATATTGCAGTGAGTACAACTTCAATGTTAACATGTCTTCAATATTTTCTCTCCACAGAAAATCCAGATGACCCGATTGAAAAGGCAACTCAAGGAACTCAAACGGGAACAGTTTTCTGAAGAATAGCTGTCTGTTGTTTAATCAGTATTAAGCTAGTGTTTCGTGACACGCCTGGGTGTCCAGCTGTTCTGCATTTGGGTCCAGGACTATGTTTCCAGACTGTTTTTTTCCCTACCAAGGGTTTTTAAGTCTGGTTTTTCGCAGCCGGCAGGCAGCACAGAGTTAGAAAGTTTCTAAACTTTGTCTTTCAAATAAGCATATATTTGCCATTACTTAGGGCTGTTTTGTATTTGTTTGGCATTTTTCGAAGATTGGATATTGTTTGGCATTTTAAGGTGGTGTTTTGAATTGTAAGTTTAATTTCTTGAAGTTTTTATCTGTAATAATTGGATAAAATTTCATACGAATAATTCAGTTTGGCCAGTTGTATTTTCTTTTTTATCACGATTCTAATAAATGTGTTGGAAGAATGAATGTTTCAAGTTTTGTTTGTGCCTTGTAATCATTGAATGAAAATCCGAACTAAAAGACAATGAAAGGGTTGCCACGGTCTGAGAAAAACAAACGTTTTCAAGGTCAGCGAATGTTTCAGAACGTCAGGGAAGATATTTGATGTTTTTTACACCGGTGAAAAGTCAGGGAATTATATTTTTCCTCACATAAGAAGCCCTTAGTTTCAACCTACCCCAGTACCCTTTAGATAAGCTCGTGCCATGCCCCACCAATCAGAAATTAAGATGGATTCCATCACGAAATTGAGTTATTTTAATCTTCAGTGGAAAAAACCTTGTACCAGAATAATCAAAACAATATCGCTTTCTTTTTTTACATTTTTCAAGGGCTATAGATGTAATTTAACACCAAAGAATATTTCTTGTGAGAGACCAAGAAAAGAAATGTGACATTTCACAAAATGACATCTTGCATATGAAATTTTCAGAATTTTACCTGTTAACAATTCTTGTGAAATTTGACAATTATTTTCTCCCGATCGGTCTGCCATGAGAAGTAGTCTTTGGTGTTATTATAGATAACTAATTATATCTATAGCTCTTGAGAAATGTAAAAAAGAATGCGATGTTGTTTAAACTATTCTGGTACAAGGTTTTGGTCCACTAAAAGTTGAAATTACTCAATGTCCTGATGGACTCCGTCTTAAACTTTCCAGCCTGTTATAGAATTTGTTCAAACTTTACCATGAGGCAATTATGGGAGCTACATACTCCCTAAAGCGATGTCTTAGAAAAGACTCCTGGTACAGAGAAACACAAAGGTAAATAAACAACGCTATGGCGTCATTACGTTTTCATGGCGACTCCGATTGCAATAAAATACAGATCATAAGAAATTTTCATCTTTACATAATACAGTTGTGGTAACCTTTTTCCCATATCTTTACTCGTGCCGACGTAGTTAGTGCTCAAACTGGGGAGGTATCACCCGTAAAAAATTTACTAAGTCGACCCACATGAGGGCCTGTTTATATGAAAGTGGGGGACCCCACGTAGGTGTGGTACCTTGCCTAGGTGGGGTACTCCCCACCATCATGGGGATGACTGCGTTGTAAGATTACATGGCAACGCGGGTTACTTTTTTTAACCCATCTGACCGGGTTACCTCACCTTCCTGGCCGGGCTCCCCCACCTCCATGTAAATTATACAGATACGTTGCTTTAATCTAATACAAGTCGTATAATCTGCAAAGGGTATATCCCATCACGGCAGATATGCATGTGCTTATTTGTTAAAAATACAGTTATGGTGCCAGTATTAGAAAAGCGTCAGCGTCTTTACAGATGACACACGGCGGCCTTTTTGCAAGCCTCTTCTGACTGCTTTTCAATGACGCTATTTGGTAAGGAGTTCCAGTCTCTGACTGTTGGTACCTGTTTGTTTTAGCACCAACTTGAATGAATTTCTTAGGGTGGAATCGCCTAGTGCCCTGTCGCCTTTTAAATAATGTATAGGGTGGAAATTTTATAGCTGATAATCCAGAACCTACTTTAAACGTGATTGTGAGTTGCGCCACTTTCCCTCTTTTCTCGGGCGTTGGCCATTTCAAATTTTCGTGACAGTTCCAGGAATGGTGCTATTATTCATTTGTAACAAAACGTGCTGCACGTCTGTGCACACTCTCAATGTCCTTTATCTGTTTTTGAGGGTGCGGGTCCCATGTACAACATCCATACTCAAGCTGTGGTCTAGCAAGGTAGGCTTGCGGTTTACGTTTTCTAGGCACTTATTTAGGTTTCTTCTTATAAAGCCAAGAGATCTGTTGGCTTTGCCTATAATACTATCAATATGAACATCTCAAGTTAGATAACTGGATAGTTCAACTCCAAGGTATTTGCTGTGATCTACAGCTTGCAAGGGTTCTCTGTGGATGGTGTATTGGTATTCAACTGGAGATGTTGAGCATGAGACTCTAAGGATGGTTCACTTCTTTGCATTAAACGACATTTGCCATGTGTCCGCCCAGTGTACAAGTGTGTTTAAGTCTTGTACAAACTTTGAAATACACCTTACAAAACCGCTTCGTCCGTGAAAAGGCCAATTTGCGCCTTCGTGTTTTCGCCGATATAGCCTGGGACCAGGCTCCGCAACGGGGAAAAAAGGGCAAAAAACGGGGTGAAATGGGAAAAATTTGCGCGACGTCAAACAAGATGCAGAGCCGATTGCGTTCTACTCCTACTAACATTTTCATATAAAAAAAATCTTCACTAGCAGTTGAACAGTACATGAAAGCATATATACCGTAAAGGCCAAATGCGACAGCTCCCTCTCCCCCTCCCCCTCCCCCTTGAAATCAAGGACAAAGCTGAGCGAAAACAAAAGGATTTTACCATCCCTGATCTATGTTTTTTCCGGTATCTTTTCAAACATTTTGGCGGCTTTGCCACTCGCTCGCTCTTTCTCTCGCAGCTTGCTTTACTCGCCACCCAACTACAGAGCTTGCTCGCAGTCTGTTGCATTTGATGCTACTGCGCAACAAGCATTTGAGGTTAATCTCGTTTACGGCAAACGACAAATGTCAGATTGAAGTTGAGAAATCGTCAAAATAGAAAATAAACAGATGAAAATAGCTCAAAAAAATTATTATGGGTAAAACTGGTGTAAATCTACTGATTTCCGTGTATAGTAGTTATAATGAACAATAAACGACAAGTTTATGATGGAAACTTGGTCACGTGGTACAAATAAACATCACTCTAAAGCTCTCTAATATAGCCTGTTCCGGGCGTTCAGATGGTGGGAAGCGAGTTAAATCGTACGCGGTGAACGAGCAAAAACCGAGGGGACACCGGGGCATTAGCGAGGGAACCCCTCCCCCGCCAATCTCCGGCCTCGTCCTTTTTTTGCCCGCGCCCAACTAACTGAACGCCCGGAACATGGTAATTCAAAAAGAACGACTGGAAGAATCCAGTAAAGTATCCCTAGTTCTGAAGATGCTAAAAGGTAAATAGACTTTAAAGAATCTAATACCTGGCTTGCATCCTTATCCTAAACAAAATCAGCTTTTCTTTGGATACCATTGTCCTGTATTACTGTCGTTTTTCAAACCACAGAGTTTTAACCTTGTGAAGTTAACACAGTTTAGTAATTCTGGAATCCATTGCCTTTAGTTGGTAGTTTGAACGACCACGGGTAGAATATCTGGGTAAATAATTAATCCTTTTTTTCAACCAGATAACTAATGTTCAATTTATTTATTGACTTCCAGTGTACACATCTTGGTGATGTTAGCAAGACGGTCAGCCTAAGAGACTGGTTTTTACAAAAACTATTAAAGAAGTCGTTTTACTAATAGTAGTGAATAGTGTCTTTGAAAGTTCATTTACATCGCCTCGCGAGTAACCTAGAAGGACGAGACTAAAATAGAAAAATAAAGTTATGTTTCTTCATCTTCGTCGCCATCTTGTACTGTTTGCTCCTCAGTTTGTTGGATAAACCCTGATAAGTCTATTGTCAAATGAGGTACACCTGCCCCACTCTCTTCTTGGGTCGCCGGCTCCAGGTCCTCCTCGGTCATCGGAAGATGAATGTGGCCACTAAGAATATGTTGACTCACAACACTCTGCATCATCTGCTCAACATTTGAAGGATGTAACACGTGATCTACAACAGAGAGCTCTGATTGGCTGCTTGTCGGTATGATGGCCGCTCCGTCCAACATGGTATGGATAACTGCCTGTTGTGCCACCACAGTTTCTGCGAGTGACACTACATCAGCCGTTGCCTGAGCGAGGTTCTCTTGGTTTGTCATTGCCTCGTCCGTTGCGTGTACCAGAAGTGACATAGTATGTACTGGTGTTGTTTCTATGGAGACCTCCTTGGCTACTATTGGTTGAGCTAACACCATTTGATCTGCAGTAGCCTGAGAGACAATGGTATGATCAGCCTGGGAGTACACCAGCGCTTGTGAAGAAACTGCCTGCTCATCTTCTTCTCCTAGGAAGACAGATTTAAATAATTTATTAGTGCACCCTTCCACAGAACAGAGAGCGAGGTCAGGCCTAGTTTAACAGGAAAATGATTGTCTTCAATGACGATTTAAGAAAGACAAAATAATATTGGCCACCTCTGAAAGCCACCATTGTGCAAATATTGACCCTTTTATTAAGATTGTACGGTTCATTGAGGCCCTGCCAGGGTAAATTCCGACAAGCGACATGGCCCAAAAAGTAGCGACAGCGCGTAAAATAAAATCGCGACAAGAGACAGCCCCCCTCGGCCAAATTGCGACAGTGACGGCAAAGCCGACAATAAGCGACAAGCATTTATAAACACCGACACGAGACGTTTTAAAATTCAGACGGGCGACACGGGACCCCTCCTCCCCCCTCTGGCAGGGCCTCTTCATTGTCGCTTTTGCCAGAAACCACGCAGTCCAAAAAGAGCACAAGATTGCACGGATCGACTGTTACTATATGACACTATTTTACATGAGGAAAAGCTTCAACGCCAGAAAGCCCCTTAAGGGAAAGGCAAAGTGTTTCAACTTATAATTTTGCCATCAATAAATGTGCAGTCGAACCTCTCTAAAACGGACACTCAAGGGACAGAGCGAAGGGTCCGTATTAGAGAGGTGTCCGTATAAACGAGGTCACTATGATGACGTCACTTTTATGACTCCACTTACAGTTTTAAGTGTTCAGGAGCTAAAACCAGGCTCACACTCGTCTTTGAACTGTTATAAGTTATAAATTTACAGTACAAAGACACTGTCTTTCAGTAGCATACAACTTTGTACATCTCAGCTACAGACAAATTACTGTTTTAAAACGAAACGAGCTACAGCGCAATGCTGCATGTAAAAAGTTGTAACGTAAAGTACAATTCTGAAAGCGTCTTTCGCTATTTGGAAGTGCACTGAAAAGTAGCTAGAGAACAAAATGTAATATAAAAGATCTTTATGCCATCTGTAGTTATTGAAGCCTTCAAAAAGTCGGCTATATTCCTCTGTACACCTTTCGCAAATCGTTGTTTGGTATACAGCGACTGGGCTTTTTTATCACCTTGCATAGCCAACCAGCCAGACTAACGGGATTAAAACAGATTCACCTGATCGGGACTCGGAATTCACGTGATCACCGCGGTGTCCGTAATAAAGAGGATAAGTTTATATAAATTTCCTCTCTGGCGCCGAGATTTAGTGTCCGTTGTCCGTATTAGAGAGAGTCCAAATTATAGAGGTTGTGTTAAAAGAAAACATATGAGAATTTTGTCGGGAGACTAGAAACTGTCCGTAGTAGAGAGGCGTCCGTATTAGAGACGTGTATGTACAGAGAGGTTCGACTGTACAGTGGGTACCACTGGAGAAAATACAGTTCAAATACTCTAACGGTATCACACACTCTACCTGTTTCATCAATGTTCTCAATTTGTGGCAGTATATCTCCTTGATGTTCAACTTGATCATCTCCTTGTACAATCACTGAAGCAGGTAGACTCTTGCTTGGTGTTTTTCTCTTCTTATCTTTGCTGGTGTCTGTGTGCCTTTTCTGATGAGCATTTCTGCTTCCACTCTGGCTAAACGTTTTTCCACAGATTTCACAAACGTAAGGCTTCTCACCAGTATGTATGAGCTTGTGCTTCCGTAAGCTTGAGTGTTCTGTAAAGGTTCTACCACACCCCTCCACAGGGCAGGAGTAGGGTCTCTCACCTAACAAACAACATTTCTGTTCAATGCCGAGGTACAATCTTGGACAAAATAGATGAAACATTTAGGACCCCCGGACCCCTAATCAAGGATTGGAAAGTGGGACGTTTTGGCTTTTGCACGGCTTCATCCTTGATTTTGAGGGAATGGGGGTTTGCCGTTCCATTTTATTCTGCCCAATATTGTAACTCTTCTACCTCAGATTTCTAACAAATATTTTACAACATTTTACTTCTTTCCAAACCTCATCCACTTTACTTGCATAGCCTTGGTCTCAAACAGCAAGTGCCATACAAGTAATAATGTTCTTGCACTTGCTTGTCAGATGTCATTGCATGGGAGGCCAGTGGTGGGGTAGAAAAATGTTGGCTGTCTTCACAGGCTAGATTCAACCCTACAGTAACAGAGATATGTATGGGACAAAACCAATCCCTACTGCCAAGAAAATGTTTTAAAGAGCACCCCACCCTTAGCCCCTATCAAGAGGTCTGGAAAGCGAGAGAGATGAGGTTTGAGCGGAAAACCCTGTTACATCATGTCTTGCACTCTAATGTATGTCCTGCCTGTTTGGCCAAAAAGTGCTTTATTGTAAAAGTGTAAGTTATACAGCTTCATACCACCTGCCTCTCCTCTCTTCGCTGTATGCAGGTGATCTATATTTGAAACATAATTGATTTCAGGTAAATAAAGCTTATTGGGTTTTTTTATCCCTACACTCACCAGTATGTATTCTCATGTGATTTTTCAAATTTCCTTGTGTAGTGAATGACTTCATACAATTTTCCACATTACAGGTATAAGGTCTTTCACCCGTGTGTACTCTCATGTGAACATTGAGTCGCTGTAACACATAAAAGCTCTTGTTGCAGCCTTCAAATGAGCAGTGATATGCTCTGTCCCCCGTGTGAGTCTTCATGTGGTACTTCATGTGTGCTGGCCAAGCAAACACACGATCACAGCCAGGATGCTGACATTTGAAGGTCCTCTTCCCGCTGTGTGTACACTGGTGATAGCGCAAATAGCCAGATGAGGTAAAATTTCTTCCACAGCCCTCATGGGAGCACGAATATGGCTTTTCTCCGGTGTGTGTGCGTGTGTGATATCTGAGGTGGCCTGCAGTGCTGAATGTCCGTCCACAGTCTGGATATTTACATTCAAACATCCTTGGAAGGTTTCTGTCAGTGGGAATGAAAATATATATTTCTATTAGGATGATGCATCATTATCAATAAATTAATTTTTCCTATTACAACATTATTGTTTTATACTTTTCTAAATTAAGCCCCTATGGTGCAAATTAAACATCTTGGTTTTGGATTGCACTGTACTAAAATTAATGGAATCCATCAAAGCTTTCATAAATTTGATGAAAAATTGTTGACAAAACCAAAGTCTTTGCTGAAGGCTAATCAAAGGGTGTTCATCACTGTAATAAAAATGACAAGTTCACTTTCTCTGGCTCTCTGGCAGAACAGACTGGATTAATAGTGGAACCTTCTTCATGATCAAGTTCTGGCTAATGGTAAGTGCTGCAGGAAAATACTGAACCACTGTTGTATTAGTCAACTTGACTGGAAGCTTGGATCAGCCATTGCAATAAATCACAAACCTATAAACATCTTATAAATTTACTTTAATGTTGCACATGTTAATATTATAGCGAAACACTAATAGGTATTGTGGAAGACCTAGAAAACTTACAAAGGTTACTTTAGTCTACTTTTTATGAGTTGAGTTGTTATTCCTGTTGGACCAAAATAGGTCGGCACAATGCCCTCAACAGCAATCCCTTCAAGTTTCTGGTAGGACTTACTTTGTAGTGTCACGAGACCTGGATAACAGAAGCATGTGATTTTGCTGACCATCCTCAGGACAACTTGAAGTTTGGACAAAGAGCAAACCTGAAAAAAAAGTCAATAACATTAAGACCTGTCTGGTAAATATGAACACAATGTATTGTGGTATCATCTAGTCCTGCGGTATAAGGTTTTTCATCCTTTTGGCTAATGGCATTCAGTAAAGGAAGATCCTTCATGGTATTGCAATACCGTTCATTTGGGCTCTCTTGTCTAATACAGGTCAATACAATGTGCAACACAAAACACAGTAAACTATACAGGTTAATAAAAGTTATCATTATATGGCTACAATAGTACACACGGGTCTGATTGGCTGTTTTCTTGTAATGATCAGGCATTTTTTTCTTGTAATGACTGGGCATTACTAGCTAGCTGTCCAAGGTATATACAAACAATTTGTGTTAAACTTGATAGTGGACATCCTTATGGACATCCATGTTATGGTCAATTGACAGCTGTCAAAAAGGGTATCTGTTGGTTTTAATATTTTAATATTATTGATTGCAAGCTCAGGTCCATAATGAAAAGGCCATCTAATAAATAACTTTTTAACCTCATCTGTTCGGTCATTACAGGGAAATCTTAGACTGAGACCTTGATGTATTGACCAAGCGATAGCGAGGTCAATACATGAAGGAAAATGAAATGATTATGCAATTTCTGACAATAAATCTTAATCAAGAAAGGAATCATTGTTGCATCCAACGCCCAGGTTTTTTCGATAGCAATTTGAGGTCAATACATGAAAACCCTTACGAGAAAAATGAAATTTAGGAATGTTTGGGAAGATTTAAACTAGACTCCAGAAACGTCTCCCTATCCTAAGGTCAATATGTTACAGAATTTACTGAAGTTGATGCTTTCTTTTCTACTAAACTGAGTTGAGGGCAAATTAATATCCCACATATGGCAATGTAAAATACCTCCATCATCTGGCTCTGCATCCTTTGTTCTTTGATCATCTAACACTTGTGAGCCACAGTGGATGGCATCTGTGACTATTGTAACACATTGGTTGCTAACATGGCCTGCACAGTCAGCCATGATTTCACTAGGAAGTGACTGTTCTACAGATGGAGAGCAATCCTTACACACCTCTGATGCTGAAATACAAAAATACAATACATTTGCTGGGAAACACTTTGTGACTAGTAATGATTCATCCATTAAAACTATCAACTCACTTCTGAATTTTAGAAACTGTGAACTTGAATCTGATGTTTGTTTAATTTGCCATAAAATGTGGATCTACTGGTAAATCACTCAAGTGTTGAAATCTTTTCACATAAATTACGTAAACGTTATTTGTTACAACATCTACTCTGTCTGTGCTCTTCACCAGATGCTCTTTAGTGCAACGTGTTGTTAGACACTTGGGTATGACATTATACTCATTTCCTACATTTTATTTATGAGGCACGCGTGTGCAGCGTTCGTGAATAAGGATTTTACTCCACATAAAGTGGAAATATCACGAAGTGCCTTTTCATGTTATCCAACCAGAAATATTAATCAGACATTTTAAACATTACCTTGTTTAACAGAGGCTGCATCTGCACCATCATCTGATGGACACACGACGAGAGAATCTGTTTCTTTTGAAAGGCTGATCTCTGAAGAAGCTGAAAAAGCATCTGAGCTGATACTTCCTACAGTTTCCTGTTCCTCCAACAAGTCCATCACATAGCAAACAGTGGTTACTGAAAAAGAATGAAGTCAGGGCGTCTTTTAACTGCCTACCAAGGCATCAGTTGGGATCTCTCTTGTTTTGATTGTTTGCAGTAAAATATAATAATAAGGTCTCATCTCAAAACAGAGAATGACCAGCATGCTGGCTAATTTGTTTGCATTCACAGATAAGCCAGGGCAGCAATAATGTAATTCTGTAGGCTTGTTTGAAGAATAACCGGCCCACTAAACATCTGGCCCCGGTTGTTCAAACGTTGGGTAGCACTATTCACTGGATAAATCACTATCCAGCGGATAAGTATTACGGAAATCAATTACGCTATCCGCTGGGTGGATAGCGGTATCCGACGTTTGAACAACTGGGTCCTGACTTAAAAAAACTGCTCCCATGGTCCAATTTGCATAATAAATCCTGATATCAACTGCAGGAGTCAGAGCTGCGGGAACACCCGTTTTACTGACTTGGATTTAATTCTTCATCTACTAACCAGGATGTTGCATGTCGATAATTTTGATACTAATCAATCGACAGATATCTGAAATCAATTAACAGTCAATCATAAATTTTATGTGATTATCGATTTTTGATGAAATTGGTGATAGAGTTTGATTTTTATATATTGGCAGATAAAAAGGATCAGAAGCAACGTTTCCAACATCAGTTAACAACATCAGTTCCAAAAGTTTTGTGCCATTATTACATCGGATGAAGGACTTTCTTAAAAGTCTACTTCAGCTTTTGCAACATTTGTTTGAACAGTTTTTTTATCTTCATTTGTAAATGAGTAACATCCATGTGTGTTGGAAGAATTGGCACATCCAAATCCTTTTCCTTAAACGGCATTCATGTAAAGTTTGTGTAAAGGCCGTAAATCCTCAACAGATATTCTCCAAAAAGTCTATCAAAATTATTACCTGTCCTGAGAACATTATCTAATGAATCAACAATTATTGACAAAAATCAAGCACTATTGACTTATCAGCCAGCTTTCCGATGATCAATGATCTATCAACATGTAACATCCTGATCACCAGGCTGTGAGACTGTGGACCCAGCATAATAGAACACGACTGCGGAACTGCGGGAGCAGTTTTTCAAGTAAGATATTAGGCTGATTTAGCAGAAAAACGGGAATGTCAGTTGAGGACCGTATACATAAATAAAATATTTGGGTTGACCAATGACAGAGCAGCAAATTGGGCACCAGAAGTCGTGTTTAGTCTGGTTTAGTCCTTTCCATGCGCTTTCCCATTGTCAACTGACATTCCCATTCTGTGAGGCCCTGCCAGGGTAAATTCCGACAAGCAACATGGCCCAAAAAGTTGCAACAGCGCGTAAAATGAAATCGCAACAAGAGAACCTCCCTCGGCCAAATTGCGACAGTGACGGCAAAGCTAACAATAAGCGACAAGCATTTATAAGCACAGACACGAGAAGTTTTAAAATTCAGATGGGCAACATGGGACCCCCACCTGGCAGGGCCTCTTCTGTGGCTAAAACAGCCTATTTTGGGGGCCGGGTATCCTGTAATCCCTCCACTTTGTATATTGTAGCTGCCCCCAGTTTCAAATGCCCTGCCCTTTGTTTTCTCACATTACTACTGACATTCACTGTCACTGAAAGTCAATGCGATGGATTCGGAGCACAATAATCGGGCTTTTATCACAACCATTAGATAAGACAAACAAATTTAGTTATTCATAGGCACAAAAGAACGTACCACCGTGCAAAGGACGGGTTTCGATCAACATTTTCACATTTCCTTACGTTTTTTTTTCTACCGAAAATTAAAAGCGACGACTTCACTTTGCGAGTCATCGTGTGCAAACATTTGCTATAGTTTGCTATAATCTGCTCCGCTTATTTTACCACTCTGCTGAGGAAATACACTGTTTGAAATACCTTTCACTGAAACCTTTCAGCTGGTTGTATTTCCCGCTTCTTTTGGTATATTATGGTCTTTTTCTCGTGAAAAAGTATCATGGTTTATCCGCCATTCTTTGTTCTTCCCAGAGCGAGCATTCCCAGCTACCTAAGCGCGCCTTTCACATCTAAAACGGAAGTAGAATCAATAACAGGAAACCAATAAAACATGATGAAACACATACAAAAAAATGGAAATTATTATCATAAGAATTTTAGGAACTTTTCAAATATAATTTTTCTAAGTAAAAGCAATTGGTTACAGAAGGCGTAACGAGCACAAAACTAGCCCATCTCTCTGTTATCTTCACCGGAAGTGTTTTTGTGCAAAGTGCTGATAGAGACCTGGGTATGAGGTTATCCTCATTTACTATATTTTATTCATGAGTCATGCACGTGCAGTGTTCGTGAATGGGATTTTACTACACATAAAGCGGAAATGGGCCACTGAACTGCACAGTTTACTATTTTTAACCCCGATTACAAAAACAATATGCGCTCGCGCCTCTTGACGCCTGAACTTATTTTATTTTACGGTCCCCATCAACTGTGCGGTCAAAAGGGAAAATATTTTGTAATTTGGAGATTTAGGAGGCCGAAATTTTTAAAAAAAAGTCATCTAGTTAGATTTAGCAGTAGAAGTTTTCGTGGGAAAAGAAACCGAAAGCTAAGGGCAGAAAGAGCACCCAAACCTGTTACATCCGGGTTTCTCGGGTGTTATGACTGGTTTAAACCGGGAAAAGCGGTGCAAACTGGCCGCGGTGTTCGTTCAAAATTTGTTATCACTGTTCACTGAAGTCGAGTATAGTTTTGTTCGTGAATTTCTTCAGTTTATATCCAGAATATATTTATTTTTTCGCGATCTGTGTATTTTCTTCAATGCCTACGGCAATGGCAACCATAGAGCACGCCACGCAGCTGCTGGACTTCTCGCAAAAACTCGATATAACTTTACTAGACTCCGTAGTGTCATGTTTTTACATGGCCCATGGACCTCAGGTTGACAAATTCTTTCGATTGTTTTTATAGTTATTGAAACTGTAGGTTTATTTTCGAGACCGTTCTTACCTAAGAATGGTTCTTTTCCTCTTCAGCAACGAATGGCAGACCAGATCTTGACTCAACTGAAGCAGCACCCGGACGCCTGGACTCGAGTAGATACTATTCTCGAATACTCAAACAATCAACAGACCAAGGTACTCTGAACTGGGAATTTGTGGTTGTTTTTTTAAAAGATTTTTTAACTATATATATGTGTGTGTGTGTTTTTTTATTATAGTACTTTGCGTTACAAATACTTGAAGCAGTCATCAAGACGCGATGGAAAATTCTCCCAGCAGAGCAGTGCGAAGGTCAGAAACTTGCTCATACTACTGCACGAGCTAGCATTAATTTGCTATTTCTCGTTCATATCTTGGAAAAGTGGCCGATTTCAAATGTCCGTTTTATTTCTCCTCAGGAATAAAAAAGTACATTGTTGGTTTGATAATAAAAATTTCTTCTGAAGCTGATATGTTAGAGGTGAATGCTTTGTTTGTAATTTCTGCATGGAAATTAATGTTTGATTGTTTCTTGTGCTTATTAACCATTGTCTGATCTAACGTCTTTTAGATAATTTGAGGTTTTAGTGAATTAAAGTTGCCTTTATTTTATTTCCTGAACAGAAAGAGAAGACGTACGTTGGCAAGTTGAACATGATTTTAGTGGAGGTATGGTTTTGATGTCAGTTTCGATTTCAAAGGGAGATTCCCGCCAAAATAGTTCTGTTTGGAATGCGAGGTGCTTTCGGAAGCATTTAGCAAAAAATCGTGTTAGAAAGATCTCTGTGTATGCTATTCGGCATAAATTGTGTGGTATTTTTGCCTGAAAGTCAATTTTGTGTAAATCCTAGGTATTAGTTGTTTAGTTGGCTAAGTACGAGTGGGGGTTGCCGCAGGTGTATCGGATTGTTTACAACGTCGTCTAATTTTAGAACTGGCTCTCAGCTATGGGTGCTCATTTTTTACTTGATTTTTTTTTTTAAATTATGCAAATTGCTGGGTTGAATCGTGTCGAGCGTTTTCAGAGATGAAACTTGTTTTGTAAATTAAAATTTCGTACACAACATCTACCTTCAAGCTTTGTTATTGTGGCAACTGGGTCAGGGGAGGTGTAGTTGGCTCCGTAATTCTGGCGTATAATTTGGCAAGTGTCCATATATTCCCACATAATTTTAAGTATTAATGTTCTTTTGTTTGTTAACAGTCTTGTGCGAGAAGCGTATCTGTTTTGAGTTAATGCACTGCAATAATCAGCTTCATTTTGTTTGTCCATTCTATATAAATATATATAGGCTTGCATTAACGTCACATGTCACACTCAGATTGATTTAATGAAGTTAAGCTTCATCTGCATATGTATGTTGTGGTGCATTATTTAATCCTTCATTTAAATTTAATTTCCTTTGTTTCAAACTCATTATTATACATTGCAATACCTGAAGAGAAAGGAAAATAAAATTTTAACCAAGAATAAAATTGAACCACAGCATTTTTTTTTTTTTCAAACATAAATTAAGTCAGTAAACTGTATAAGGTAAACTAGGCAGTGGATTTAACTGTTTCACGACCAAGTGCATCTTAACTCAGTTTTAACGGCTAGGATTTACTTTATTGTATAAATAATAAACTCTGAAACTATTTAAAAGTTCATTTTAAAAAAAAATCGTTTTGGAAATACAGTTTGAAACAAGAATAATAATTACTGTTGTTTCAAAATGTATTTCCAAAAGAAATAACTTGAAGTTTTTTTTTTTTTTGCTGCATGTCATCATTCTCAAAAGCTAAGAAATGAACATGATTTATCCACAAATAATGTTAATTTCTCAGCTTTTGATAATATGACATGTAGCCATCGAAACGTTACGTTGCGTTTATACGGTTGATATTTGCATACATTTAATTTTGTTGACCTTCATCTTGTAGGGTTTCAATACATGTATATGTTGTAGTTAATTTTTTATCTCAGATAATTTTTATTTTCCCTTGTTTCAACTTAATTAGTATACATTATCATACCCAAAAACAAAAGAAAAATCGAAATTACCTGAGATAAAAAAATTAACTACAACATATATCTTTGCCAATGTCAGGCAATAAGAGTATCATACGTCTTTTTCTAGATTTTGAAGCATGAATGGCCAAAGAAGTGGCCAACGTTTGTTGGTGACATAGTGGGTGCAAGTAAAGCAAATGAGTCTCTGTGCCAAAACAACATGGTGATTCTAAAGCTACTCAGGTAACTGTTGTGATAAAGCTATGGCTCAGATATTAAAATTTACAAGAACTTGTGTTGTTTGTTCCTTTTGGAAATTGTCTTCATCATTTATGATCCTTGTCAGGCATACATCCCAAATTTTAATCCACCCCTCCCTCCCCTCATTTTTTACATCAAGGGTGTAAAGTGGCCTTCCTTTTTTTTCTCAGTGAAGAGGTTTTTGATTTCTCCAGTGGCCAGATGACTCAAACAAAAGCAAAACACTTGAAAGACAGGTTGGAATGCTTAGAAATATCACATTAGTTTGCTTTGAATTGCCTTTATATATGGTGCAGTTAATTTTTTTTTGTTTTTCCTTTGTTTTAAATTCATTAGCATACATTACCATACCCAAAAACAATGGAAAAATAAAAACTAACTGAAATAAAAAATTAACTACAACATACGTATGATTGTCAGGACTTGAACAACATTAATTTTTGCTCTATCTATGTTGTCAGCAATGAAGAGATTGCCTTTTCAGTGTTTAAGTTGTCATTTGTTCAAATCTTGTCGGGGACTTGGGCACTTTTTGGCCATTCCATGTTCTTTTTGTGATGGTTGTTACAACTTTCCCTTTTAGTACCAGTCTTCACATGTTTGTTTATTTATTTATTTAGCACTGTAGTCTCTTATTGTTGATATTTTACCATATTTTTTTTGCAGCTTAACTGAAATGTTCCATCATTTTAGTGGGATTTGTTGATTAAAAAAAGAGCCATTTATCTAGCTCTCTTATAAAATTATCTTATATAGTGGCATTCTTTTTACTGAATGATATTTTTTTATGCAGTAATTATTGCATACTGTAATAGTTAGTAGAACAAGTTGTAATAACTCTAACAATTTATCATTTTTCAGTATGTGCAGTGAGTTTTCACAGATATTTACTCTGTGCCAGTTTGTTATGGTGAGTTAAGTCAACAGGCAAAATTTGGCAGCAGTCTGTGGTTTAATTGTGTAAATTTTCATTTATTTGTTAGAGGGGGAGTCTCGATTTTATTTTGTGGCTGCATGTGTGACTAATACTTGTAAATCTTCTCATTTAATATTGCTATATTTGTCCACTTTTTTTAGGAGAACTCTTCAAATGTTACTCTCATAGGTGCAACTTTAGAGGTAGGTCGAGAATTGTTTAAAGAACGAATTATTTTTGACTGCAATTAATTTTTTTGTTCTTGTAGAGTGGCATTGCACTTAGGCCACCAATCATGGCATTGCACTTGAGACACTGAAAAATAAGCCACTCAGTAAAACATGCTGAGTTTGAAAGTGTTTCGAATTGATGCTGATTTAGCATTTTTTAATTCACGAGTGGTCAAAATATTTCCAATTTTTTTCAAGGACTGTGGAGAGTGTTATATATCTCCTCAATTCCTTATGTAATTTATGTACTTATTTCGCAGACACTTCTGCGTTTTCTCAACTGGATTCCTCTTGGTTACATATTTGAGACCCAGCTTATAAGCACACTTGTTTACAAGGTAACAGAATCATTAACATTTCAGTTTATTTTTGCCAATTTTAAAATCGTGTGATTTATTTCATTGAATTTAAACTAAACGAAACTCTTTCCTCTTCAGTTCCTTAATGTACCTATGTTCAGGAATGTGACCTTAAAATGTCTCACCGAAATTGGTAAGTCAGCCAGAGTTTAAGGATAAAAAGCAACTCTATTAAAACATGATGTTTTGGCGATGACATATCACCATTATCAAATGCAAATGAAAGAGACTATGGAACAACATTTAGGGGAAACGAAGATGTGAAACACATCATTAAATTTAAAGAACAAAAGATTGAAATAATTATGAGAGTTGCTTTACATGTAATTTTAGTTAGATTTTCCCTAAATTGGACTCGTATTTTCAAAACACAGCTGGCATTGGTGCTAACCAGTATGATGAGCAGTTTGTGGTGCTGTTTACACTTACAATGGCCCAGTTAAAACAGGTTAGTTTGACTTATCTTATCATATGATAAATTATTTTAATGACTGTGAAATGTCCTCTCTGGGAATTGGAGAGGTTTCTAATACAGGTCACACTCCACAGATCACCATTGCAGGTCAACAACAACATGTTTATTTCTCCTGTAAACAGACAACTAAAAGAATTTACAAGAAATATAATTATTGGTTTGTATAGTAATCAAAGGTACATCTTCAGAGCACTTTTTCATGTGACAATTAAACACAAATGCTCTTTGTCTATATTATCCTTTACTTTAGATGCTTCCCTTGACTATCAACATCAAAGATGCTTATGCAAATGGAAAGGATGATGAACAGAAATTTATTCAGAACCTGAGTCTGTTTCTCTGTACATTCCTGAAGGAGCATGGCCAGTTGGTGGAAAAGAAGGTATTAACCTTTTAAATACACAGATTCTCCACGCTGTTCTTTATACATTTCCTTTCGCACTGATGAGGAGAATTGTAAAGCAAAATAACCTCTTTTAGCCTGTGGATACCCACTGGGTATCCCAAGAGTTTTTTTTATCGGTTTTGATATGCAAATGTGTCACTCACTCACTTTGTGTTGACGGAGATCAGCTCTTCGGCTCCAACCTGAACTCACTGCTCGATATGAAAACAACATAGTTCATTGTCGCTGAAGGGCGTCTGAGTTGAGCATTCGCGTATGCATCCTCGTAAGAGAACCCTGGGAATTTATTATTATTATTATCATTTTCATCGGAAAAAAAATAAGAGATTCAATGGGATTTAAACCCATCACTGGCTACTGCATTAGCACAGCAGTGCTTGACCAATGGAGCTATGAACACCCTCACATTAAGAGCAGGATGATTTCAATGTTGAGTTAATTTTAACTTGTTCATCAATTAAAATTTGTTCATTATTTTTATCTCTTTTTTGTTGTTTATTCATGTAGGAGGAACTTCATACTACATTGTTGGAGGTAGGTATAAAGCTTAAACATTAAGGTATCATTTGGTAATTGAGGCATGAAACAGAATGTGTTTTTGTTATTGGATTGGAATGATAATCTTGTAAGTGAGCTAGTTTTATTCTCTTCTTGACAAGAGAGAAAAAGAACATTCCAATTTACCAGTCAAGGACTGTTAACCAGTTTTAAGTTTCTTTTTGTAGGCTCTTCATTATCTCGTCCTCATCTCTGAAGTTGAAGAAACAGAAATCTTTAAGATTTGTTTAGAGTACTGGAATGCTCTGGCATCTGATCTGTATCGTGAGAACCCGTTCCCTTCAAGCACTCCTCTTTTGATTGGCACCTCTCAATCACAATCAGTCCCACCTAGGAGACAAATGTATCTATCCGTGCTATCTAAAGTAAGTTGGTAAAAATGGTTATCACTTTCATCACCAGAAACTCGGGCACCTTTAAAGTGATTTCTTTTTTGGACAAGTGCAAAGTAACGGGTTGATTTTTGACACAGCTAGAACAAGTACTTGATATGAGCTGACTGTTCTTTCTACTGTGTTATATTTGCTGGTGTGTTTGGCTTGATAAAGAGTAGGATCACAATATTTAAGTTTTTTATACTATTGAGTTACAGCACCTGTTAGTAGCATCAAGTAAAACTGAAATGTCTTCCAAGCACACTCTTAACCTTGATTTTTTTGAAAAGGTGTTCTTTATACTATTGAGTTACAGCGCCTGTTAGTATCATCAAGTAAAACTGAAATGTCTTCCAAGCACACTCTTAACCTTGATTTTTTTGAAAAGGTGTTTGAAAGAGGAAAACGTTGTCTCAAAATTTGATGGAGTTACATCTTTTTGTGTTAAACTTAAAGCAACAGAACTTATCATTGGAAAGATGGATAAATGAATAGTATTTGGTTATACATGCCTCAAAAATTGATTTGTGTTTGTATGTTTTTTTTTGTTAAGGTACGCCTAACAATGATCTCAAGAATGGCAAAGCCAGAGGAGGTAGGGATGGAATCTTAAGTACAGTGGAATTTGTACTTGATAATATAATGCTCAACTTCTGTAAGTTTTATAAGACCCTGCATTTTAATGCATAAGCAACAAAATAGTTCACACTGACCAAGTTCAACTGGATTTGAATTTGATTCATCTTTGACTTTGTAGGTGTTGGTGGTTGAAAATGACCAGGGTGAAGTTGTCAGAGAGTTTATGAAGGACACAGATGCTATCAACTTGTACAAGAACATGAGAGAAACTTTGGGTAAGTGTTATCATTGCAATGGCTAAATCTGTAAACCTCATTAAGAATTCCTTGACTGGAGGCTTTGAAGAATGCATAAAGCATGTTTTTCTTGATAATTTTGTTTTGCCTTTTGCTGTAGTGTACTTGACACATTTGGATTACCAGGATACCGAGAGAATCATGACAGAGAAGCTTCAGAATCAAGTCAATGGAACTGAATGGTCCTGGAAGAATCTTAACACGGTATGTTTGTGATGAAAATCTTGCTGCTGTTTGAGATTTCTTCTTTTCGTTGATTATGGCACCATTTGCCAGCTATTTACCAGCTATAAATATACTATTAATTGTACTGATAAATTTCTAAGAAATAGTTCAAAAATCCACAGAAAAAAGGGGGACGAAGGCCCACGACCCAACTCGTCTGTGGCAGTTGAGATACTTTTCATTAATGACATTCCATTTTTAGACATATTTATTTCTAATCAGTCATTTGCTTGGCCCTGATAGTAATACTACTGACAGAAAATATATAAATTTTATTTTACTTTTTTCTAATATTAACTGAATGATTGTGTTGTATTTTTAGTTGTGCTGGGCAGTTGGATCAATCAGTGGAGCTATGCATGAAGAGGATGAGAAAAGATTCCTGGTGACTGTTATCAAGGTATACTGAATCTTAAACATGACTTTGCACTTTTGCCTCATAATTTGTTTCTTCACTTCGTTTATTACTGATTATCATTTGTATTCAGTAGCCACTAACTGATCAATTCTTTTCTTCAGGATCTTCTTGGTCTGTGTGAAATTAAACGTGGCAAGGACAACAAAGCAATAATTGCATCAAACATAATGTATATAGTGGGGCAATATCCCAGATTTTTAAGGTAAAATAGTAATAATCATTTTCTTCTTTCTCTTTTTCTGAAAAATCGTAGTTTGTATCATGAGGGTTTACTTACTAATTTTTTGTACCATATATCAATACTTACATGTCAACAAGATATGGGTTTTAACAGCTGTAATGAATTGTATGTTTCAATTTTCATTTATGTTTGAAATCATGATACAGAATATCAGATGTTTCTTCCTCCCCATATATGCTTCAGTCTGAAGTAGTTTGAGTCTTCAGAGTGAGTACATGAAGAAATGTTAGTGACTTTGGTTGTAATTTTGTAGGGCTCACTGGAAGTTTTTGAAGACTGTAGTGAACAAGCTGTTTGAGTTTATGCATGGTATGTTTACTTATTCCTTTGTATAATTAAAACTGTGCCTTGATGCTGTGGCAAGTAGATGTAGGAGAACATTTTATTTTTCTTCAAGCATTAAGATGTTAGCAGCAGCCAGTTCTCCATGGAGAACCTCTTTCCATCAAAATATGTATTTCCTTTTCAATATGTACCAGTATATGTACCTTTTCAGTTTTTCTGCCGTTCTAAATACACAGCAGGCCTATTTCTGAGCAACCTGAGAATATAGTAAATTGATTTTAAGATCAAATCAAAATGTGAGGTTAATGCATTATTCTTTATTTTATTAGAAACACATGATGGTGTTCAAGACATGGCTTGTGATACGTTCATCAAAATTGCTCAGAAATGCAGAAGACATTTTGTACAGGTAAACAAGTAGAACTTAAAAACCTTATTATATTATAGGTGGGTCTTGCCAAGCTGTGTATCTTAATAGTAGTTAACTTTTTATATGAATTTCTGTAACAGCAATAGTAGTAGTAGTATAAGAAATTTTAGTATTAGTTTAGTAATTTAATATACGGTTTTTCTGTGTCAACACGCCCTTCATGGAAAATGGAGCGTGTTTCTCTTGTAATTTGAATTTTTAAATAAAGCATTACCTTCCTACCAAGACGTTGCACGGTCTTTTGAAAAGTAAAAACCCTCACCTGGTTGTTGAGCATCAGTCTGCCAAGCATGAGGTCACAGGTTCAAACCCCAGCTGAACAAACAACTAGGGTCTTAAAAATTGCAGTAGTGTCGTGCCAGCTGTGATAAGATCTGTCACAGTTCTGATAATCGAGTCGATGGGCGTTGATGTGAAGCCATTGGAACCCACGCTGCTGTTTGAGAAGAGTGTGGATGTAGACTCTGTTGCTGTGGTCTGTTGGTCTCTTGTAGGGGGAGGGAACTGTCACTGGACTTCAGTGACTTCACAATGTTACAATAAGCCTGCTAAGAATTGGCGAATCTAAATAGAATTTAATAAAATATAATAAAAAACGTTATTATCTGACTAGTTAATTTGAGTTGAATTTTATTTCCCAGGTTCAAGTAGGAGAAGTTATGCCCTTCATAGAGGAGATATTAAATAATACGCAGTCTATCATCTGTGATCTTCAACCCCAGCAGGTAACATTATTTTTTCACCAAGTGCTAGCAAAGTAATTAAATCCTTTTCAATATGCTTCTCTGAATTCATTGTTGAAGAACCTGAACACTTCTTAGGTGTCTTTTGATAATGCCAGCATAATAGAATGTTTTAATACTTGTGTACATGTATAAGAAGGGCTGAAGATCTTAAGTACCACAAATAAGCTCATGGTAACTATGAAATTATACCAAATAATTTTGTGTTTTGTAACTTTTGTCTACATGGAAACTTTGATCCCTCGTGTGCTGTTCTAATATTACTAGGCTTAGTACGTCAGACAGAGTCAAAACACTGTTACACTAGTGGCAGCTATGAATGATTGAAAGTCAAAGCACAATAACTATTTATCCACAAACCGATCTTTTTACTCATGAGTTTTCTTTTTGTTAGGTCCATACTTTTTATGAGGCTGTTGGCTACATGATCAGTGCACAAACAGTAAGCTCTCTCTTCATAATTCATGTTACCCTGCCAGCAGTGGTTTCTCCAGGCCGGACACTACACTAGAAGCGTACATCCCTACGTAGCGTAGCGTCTGGCCTGGAGAGACCACAGCTGGCAGGGTATGTTGCTGGGAGCCTGTCATTTTGGTTTATTTACTGACAGGAAGTATAGGACTCTACACTTGTTTCCATTTTTTAAATTCAGGATTCAGTTGTCATGGAGAGATTGATTGAGAAGTACATGTCACTTCCAAACCAAGCTTGGGACAATATTGTGAAAGAAGCAACAAGGGTAAGCAATTTTCAATGTGTTGAGAAAATTTAGTGACCTTTCAAAGCCAAAAACTGTTCATGAAAAGTCACACTCACCTGCACTTGCTTTTTCCCATTCACCACTTAAAAAAAAAAAGAGGGTAACTGGGGCAAGTTGACTTTTGCAAAGACTTCGGGGATCATTACTGAGAATACTTTGGTCAGTTATTGTCCATTTTTTTTTTCACTGTCCCCAGTAACAGCCCCAGAACTCTGAGAAAGTTGGCTCAGTCCAGTTTCGATCTCATTTATAGAGTGGCAAATAGCTCTTACTTTCTTGAAATGATTCAGTGCATTTAAAAATGCACTTCCAAAATACATTTCTTAATTAACATGTGTTTGAGTAACTTTTATTGAGTCACTCTGATTTTGTTTCTTTTCTGCAGAATATTGACCACCTAAGGGAAATTGAAGTTGTTAAACAGTTAGGAAATATTCTGAAAACAAATGTCAGAGGATGTAAGTCCGTGGGTCATCCTTTTGTTACCCAGCTGGGCAGAATATACTTGGACATGCTCAATGTATACCGCTGTCTCAGTGAAAACATTTCTGTTGCGATAGCTGAGAATGGTGAGATAGTTACAAAACAGCCTCTTATCAGAGCTATGAGAACTGTTAAAACAGAAACACTTAGACTCATATCCACATGGGTAAGCAAGTCAAATGATGCTAAGCTTGTCTGTGACAACTTCATTCCTCCTTTATTGGATGCCGTGCTGGGAGATTATCAAAGAAATGTGCCAAATGCCAGAGAACCTGAAGTCCTAAACACTATGGCAACATTCGTCAACAAGCTTGAGGTTTGTATTGATCTGTTCCTTTTATTGTTTTTTTAACCTGCGCGTAGGGTTGCTGTGCTCAATGCTCAACAGGCGTTTGGCTTGAAGTGAAGTTTTGGTGACAGCCTCTTTCCCCTGCAAAGGCTCCTGTCTTCCAATAGAAAATAATTATTGTAAGGGCACTGTGGATGGTGGGAATAAGGAAAAGCAATCATCTCCTGCATGCTTTCGGTTTTCCTCTCCCATCCTCCCTGCAATACAAGAGGCCTCTGCAAAAGAGATAGGGTGTCAGTCGTGAAATTATCACCCCAAGGACAATAATTTAATTATATTAACAGAGAGCTTTAGATTTGAGGACAAGAATGAGATTAAACTTCTAGTTTTTGGGTGTGTTCTCAAAAAAAGACACCCTGGAAAGCTTCATTTTACTTTTTTTCACCAAAAACGTTAGTACGGATATTTATACTAAAGCAGGCTCTCTCCTGATAGCAAAATGATAAAACTTCTTACATTTGATAACTTGTTCTCGCTACTGCAATAATTATTCTTGCTAAATCCCTTTGTAGAATGACAACAGCTGTCTTGTTTTCCCGCCAAAATGACACTGGCTCACGCGTGCACAATACTTAATTTTGAGAAAATCTTGTACTCATAGTCGTCCTCGTCTTCAAATCTTAAGCCCTTTAATGTTAGCAGCTCTGAACCATGAGGGCCACTAAGCTTAAAAAAATGCTCCATGTTCTTAGCACTCTGTGCCCATTCACTAAGGAGAGTCATAAAATTCCTGATGTGTGCATGCATTTTTTCCTCGACCATGTAGAACTAATACAATGCAAAAACTGTTCTTGTCTTTTTGTACTTGTTTTTCAAGCTGAGATTCACAGTTTCTTGTCTATGGTTATGGCTTTTTTTGGAAAAGACAAAATATTAGGATAAAACAGTTTTAGTATTTTTCTCAAGTCCATAACACATACTGAAAATGTTTTATAATAGAGTTCTTTCCTATTTTCAGAGGAATGTAACGGAACATGTTCCAAAAATATTTGATGCAGTGTTCGAGTGCACACTAGAAATGATCAACAAGGTCAGTATGCAAATTTATTTTACTTCTGCCGGGTACAGTGAGTGTTTCACTGCCTTGTGGTACATTCATATTTTGCTCTGTTCAATTTGAATATAACAGTGCAAGTTTTCTCTTTTTTTTAGAACTTTGAAGAATTTCCTGAACACAGAACAAACTTTTTCCTTCTTCTTCAAGCTGTTGTGCAGCACTGTTTCCAGGGTAAGTTATGCAATAATATATTATTACTCCACAGTATATGACTGTACTACTTTTGCACCGCATGCTCAGTACTTTAAAATTTGTAATGCATATGACAAAATCTTATTGTGTTGTCAACAATTTCATCTGGGAAATGTGATTAGACCTGGTGAAAAGCTGACTAGTTCCGTGAAGGAATAACTTTGCAAAAAAAAGGTTGTTTCTGGCAGGCAACAGTAGAGGAAAGGATATTCAATAGTGAGAAAAAACCTACAATGTTGCATTCATTCCATTGTCCACAGAAACAAAGAATTTTCAATGGTGCATTTAGTTTCTGTCATGATGCAAAAGGTGGTGACTTGACTCTCTGATGTTTTGTCTTGAAAAGAAGTGCAAAACAAACAAATGTGGGTGAATGTTCTGTGAATATACTTGAAAGCCATGTGCAAATATTTAGGCCATTTTGAGCAAAAAAGTCTAAACTTGACCGAAGATGGTTTCAATTGCATCTTGCACTGGTTGTGTCATGCAATGCTCCTGATCTGTGACAGCATTTTTTAACTCTCTCCATAACTTTACCAAAAAAACAATTTTCTTTCACTGTATATTCCTTCCCTCCTCCAACCCTGCCCCTTTCAGTTTACATAGCTCAAAAGTGTTTATTTATTTATCATATTTCCACAGCACTGTTATCAATTCCTGCTCAGCAGTTCAAGCTGGTTCTGGATTCTATAGTCTGGGCATTCAAGCACACCATGAGAAATGTTGCTGATATTGGTATGAAGGAGTTCTATGCATCAACCCTCCAAGTTAAAGTTTTTGCTTGGTTGCCATTTGGCAACCAACTCTTTTGGTTTACGGAGACTTTTTTTACAAATCAAGTCGCCAGCTCCAAAATTTTAGGCGCCATGGCGACCAAAATGGTCACAACTTGGAGGGTTGTGCATACATGCACATTGCTCTTAGATTAAGTAATTATCAGATTATTGATTTTTAACATGTTGACTCTTTGTAGGCCTCCATATTCTTTACTCCTTGTTGAAGAGCCTAGAACAAGAAACAGCAGTACAGAGTTTCTATCAGACGTACTACATGATGATTGTACAACATGTTTTGTCAGTAGTCACAGATACATCACATACAGCTGGTTAGTATGAGAAAAATGATTATTTTTTGTAGTCAGTGACACAGATGGCTCAGAAGAAAAAATTTGAGTACTCCCAATATGCAGGGTTTGTATAAGTCTTGAAATTGCCCAACAATTTTCCAGTCCTGGAAAAATTCTGGAAAATATAGATAAAGTTTTTTTGAAAGTTACCATGAGTGCTTTACAAGTGAATTTTTTATTTGTGCTGGCCAAATCTTATTCAATCCCACCTGTATGTTTGCAGTGCATCATGGAAAAAGCTTTTTGTTCCTTCATTTTTTTAAGGTCTCTATTGATCACCTATTTGATAACCTTGAGTCTGTCTAAAAATCTGTATGAACCCGGAATAGGTGTATGACCTCCTATGACCTTCTGGTTACTAGTCCAGATGCTCTACCACTAAGCTACAGGAGACTTGTGGGAGCTTTTAAGGCCACTAAAATGCCAATTTGTGCTTAGGCATTACGATAAAGATGTGATAGTGAATTTGAAGCCTTTGCTGCTGATAGTCAAGTGCCTTTTGGTGCAAGATGCTTATTACTTTTGTTCAGATTTAGCTAAAATTTTCACAGTTAAAAAGACCACTAAAAAACATGCTTTCTAAGAGCATAAAAATTTGCCCTCCTCTTACAAATATACGAGTAAGGCTCCGAAATAAACTGGCCCTACTCAACCAAGTTTATTTGTTTTATTGTACTTTTTTAAAAATCCTGGGCATTTACAGTTGAGTAGGAGGGTTTTAAAGAAGTCTTTAATTCTTTAGGGAATTTGCTTAACCAAACCTCAGTCATAATAAAAAACAACTCTGTTTTCCTTTCTGTAGGTTTAACAATGCATGCCACCATCTTGGCCCACATGTTCAGTCTAGTTGAGACAAACAAAGTGTCAGAGCCTCTTTTTCCTGCAGGAAGTGTGCAGTACCCTTCTAATCAGGTATTTGACATAATAATACTTCACTGTCCAATAACCACCCTATAACTAGTAACAATGAACAGAGCTAAACTTTTCGCATTTTTTTACATACAGTCAACTCTCTTTAAAACAGACACCGTTGTGACAGGCAACAAGTGGCCATCTTACCTAGATGTCTATCTTGTACAGAGTCAAGTAAAGGAAGTAAATAAAGGCAGGGACAAACTCTAGGTGTCAGTTTTACCAAGGTGTCCATCAAGAGAGTGCTGACTGTAATAATTTGCAAACTCAGAGTTGATTCAGAACCTTTTTGCTAAGCAAAGGAAATAAAGAAAATGTATTGTGTACCAGCCCCACACTTACATTTTTGGCCCTGATTATCTAACACAAGTCTTAAAACCTGATCTTTGTGTGAATAACAACTAAAGGTTAAGTTTAAAAAAATTTAGATAATTTAACCGTAGGAAAGTTCAGCATTCCTAAAAGTAAAAAAGATTCCTCAAGTTTCTCCCCACAGAAATGCTTAAATTGGATAGACTTACTTGTTAAGTTTTTATTATTATTTTTTAATTGATTAAGGAAAGATAACTGTTTGATTTCTTATCTGGATTGTTAATTCTCATAGGCTTATGTCCAAGAGTACATTGCTAATCTTCTGAAGCAAGCATTTCCACATTTGCAAGAGTAAGTTGGCTTTGTTTGTGAATACCTCTTATTTGCATTAAACTTTGGTGTCAGGTTAATTCTCACCCTCTATTTGTTGCTCTAATGTGTCAACAACAAAAAGGTAATAAAACTAAGTAGCGAAAGCTAGCATTTGGCTTCTTTGGGACTTGGAGCTTGTAGAGGATCTCAGACACTGTTACTCTTAGCAATCATTTTTAGGGGAGTAATTTTTGGAATGTTGGGAATGATACTGCCTATTGACAGGGGAGAAAATCTCTTTACTGTTCCAAACATGCTTCTTATATTAAGAGAGTTTTTCAGAGGCAAACAGATGAGTTTCCCTTATCGTCTCTCAATATTATTATGAGCTCTATTTGGAGAAGTTGAACTTTACTTGTTTTTCCTTTTTGTATTTGGATGAAATTGTGATGTGAGTATTCCATGTTCAGTGCACAGATTAAACTGACAGTTCAGGGACTGTTTGACCTAAACCAAGACATCCCAGCCTTCAAAGAACATTTACGAGATTTCATGGTACAAATCAAGGTTAGTATATTAGCCCTTCATGTATGAAATGTACTTAATTATGAAAAATGTCAAGTTCATTTTTTGATACTAAAATACAAATAGTTTTCCATTGAAGCTTCTGAAGTCAGGGTTCTGGTTGAAAAATTCAGACATTTTTTGAAGTAGGTGTTATAAATAAGCTCCTGCCAGGTTTTCATTGAATTGATGATAAAAGCAAGTAGAGCTGTTGTGGCTCCTGTAACTGCTGTGTTTTATTGAAAGCTCCCCAGTGCAAAAAGGTTCCATGGAATGTCCTAGGTAATATCAATTTTAGATTCTCCGTTTGTGGCACAAACAAACACAAGGCAACAAAAAGGAGAATTTAAAAGTTTATCAAAAGTCACTTACATCCTGTAAGGCTTTTTTTATTGCACCTTACGATCTTCTTTTCATACTCAAAAAGTTAGAACCAAACCACATTACAGGTGTTCATTATTAACCCTTATGGGAATGCATTTTTATAAATAACTGATATAAAATTATTAAATGAAATGATTGTGAATTAAAATTTTAAATAATAATTAAAATTAATCAATTAGTAGTGTTAATATTTGAAAACAAAATTGCACAATTTAGTATGTAAGCTAAGGGAAATGATTTCCTTTCTGTTTCAGGAGTTCAGATCAGAGGATGTGAGCGACTTGTATTTGGAAGAACGAGAACAGCAACTTACTTCTGCGCAGGAAGAAAAACGAAAGGTTCAGCTCTCAGTGCCTGGAATAGTTAACCCTCACGACATGCCAGAAGAAATGCAAGATTAATATTTATTCTTAGTTTTTAGTTCATAATATTATGTATTAATTATTAATAGGTAGAAATTTTGTTCAAAAGGAGGATTAGTTTATCCATGTACATGTGACATGTATTTTTGTACTTCTTGTGTTTGTAAGGTCAGCTAGCTGGCAAGACATCAGCGAGTTGAGTTAATCTAGAGGTTTTTATATAATTATTTTGCAGAGAGATGCAATGTTGTATTCAGCAACAGTGCATTCATGATATATTATTCTGTCGTAAAGTTTCTCTCAGGTTCAACTGTTTGCAGAGTTGTATTATTTCTTGTTGGTAAACTTAGAATCCAACACTAACTTGTCTTGTACAGACCTTGTTACTTTTAAAATCAGTAGTACCCACCCCTTATCGTGGAGTTAGACTGTAATATTTTGGTACAATATATTTACCCTTCCCACTATCAAATATAAAGTGTTCTATTGGAAAGTGTGGAATATAAATTAAAGACGAGTAATGTATTTTATATTATTTTATATTGAAATGTAGAAGTTTTGAGCAATAAGTAATTTAATTGCTGTACATTTCTACTGCTATTCAGCAGAGTTTACATGAAGCTCAATCTCGGAGATCGAAAGATTTATGGTTCCATGGATACAGTGGTGTTCGTTACAGAAACACTAGCATACATAAATGTTGTGGTTGGAATTATGTTGTCTTGGTTTAAATTTTATTTCCGTTTGTTACAAGAATACCCATTATCGTACATAAATGCAAATTATGCATAAAAACAAAGGAAAGTAAAACAGGCAACCAAGAATTTAATTGAACAACAACTTAAACATGCCTTACTTACCAGTAACATTACACATTCTTCATGTTCTTATTATTGCTCGTTTCAGTTCGTTGTCACTTAGTTGTGGCCTTTAGTCTCGCACTTTTAGTTAGTTCTACTGTATTTTCATGATTTGCATTCTCCATTAAACAGTGAAGATTCAGCCTATATTAAATACAAGGTCATCATATATTGTATGCATTAATTTGCAGTGGTATTCAGACATAATAATTAACCATTGCCTATAGGAATCATTCAACTGATTTGAGTAATTTTGTTATTTATTTTGTCAATACTACTGGATGGTAAACTTTTCTTTCAGCAAATAAGGAATTTTAAGGCAGTCTGACTAAAAATCTAATGTGAATTGCTAGCTGACTTGATTACCCTTTGCAGTCTTAACCTGTCAACTTTACGAATGCAACTTAGATGTATTTATCTGTTTGATTTAAAGTGATTTATAATTTATATAAATTTGTTATCAAGTTTAATATAAACCCTTTTTGTAAGTTCAATTTTACACTATACAAACATTCGATCATGTGAAAATATCACAAGCATGTTGTCACAATAAAGGCAAGTTTAAACGATTCCAACTAATGTTCCTTCCTTTCCTTAGTTAAGTTTGATTGTTTGACTGAGCTCTGTTTTAGAAACATCTTGTATTCAAAATATTATTATACACAGGCTCAATTACCAGCCACTGTTCAGGAAATTAGCCCACACTCCTCCCTTGAGAGTGGTGGAGATTGAGCCTAAATTATACACCTCTCCAGAATAAGTCAATTCTCATGAACACTCAGCCTCTTTCTAAGGCATTTGTGCATATTTGACAAATTGTACACTATTCAAGACACTTGAAAAAGCTCCTTTTCAAAAAGTAATACCCATTCTAAATTACGAGTCTAAAAATCTTCACTTGCTGGGCAGCACCTAACTCCGTGGTTAATTTGGTAGTTTGCATAGCAGGCATCAAACTCCCTGGAGCTTCATTATAAAAATTATGCCAATTAAACAACGTGGTATTCCAGCTATGTCTACCCCCTTATTCAGTCACAGGTCTAGGGTTTCCAGACCCATCAAGTCTATTACCAAGCACAAATGTAGGCAATGTTTCAAACATGCACCATAAACAGCCCCTTGGGAACAAAGTCAAAAAGAGGGAGGTAAAAGTCTATTATGGCCATGCTTGTGGCAGCGGGTCTAATATACAGGTTACTTTCTACAGGTCAGGGGACAAGTTACCGCACTATACAGATAAATAAACAGCTCCAACAGTGTCTCCTAGTCCTAATCTCTTTACAAAATGCCCTTTTTAGTTTTTATAACGATTACGGGGAAACTGTGTGAATTATGCTTTATCAGTAGAATTTCATGGGCTTGTGCAGCCTTGAAAAGTCCTTGATTTCCATTTTGTTTCTTAAAAAGTCCTTGAATTTTCCTCAACTTGGATTGTACATGTAGTGGGATCAAAAGCGAATTGGTTTGCACAGACAGACTTTGGTATTCTATTCCCGTGTACAGCAATTTTAAAAACTGTAAAGGGCAGCTCATGAAGAGAAACTGAGAAGCAAAGTAATACGGTTCAAAAGTCAATCAAAAGCAAATTTACCAGCATTTGCATTCTTACTCTTTAAATGCACCCTGTGCCCACCACACATATTTTTATTTGGAGTTCTGTGCCTTGAAGAATACCATATTTATTCGAATAAGCACCCAACCTTGAATTAGCGCCCACCTCGAATAAGCACCCATCCTAAAGGCAGAAAAAGTTAATAAGCGCCCAGCCTCGAATAAGCGCCCACCCCCTCCTCCCCCCAATCAAACTCAAATAAGCACTCACCCCCACCCCACCCAATTAAGTGAATAAGTTCCTTGAAGACGGAGTTTTCTTCAGAGTATTTTACAGAAACCTTGCTTTGTTACTTCTTCGTGTTTTGTTAGTAGCATTTATTGTTTTGTTGCAAAATAAACATACTTCACTTGCTGAAAATGGTGAAAATTTAATAAGCTCCCAGCCTCAAATAAGCGCCCACTCTCAAGGTCCAAAAATTTAATAAGCGCCCAGGGTGGTTAATCGAATAAATACGGTAATATTCTTTTAAAGCCTGTTGGTTGACCAAGACAGAACATAAATCAGATAAGAGCTGTCAAGAGCTATAAGTGCTATTACAGCTATCAACGAAATAAGAATAAAAAAGAACATCCAAAGAAGACAAAGTCATTGCCTGCATCGCAGACGCTTTAAACTGGCTTAGACAAGTGTGTGGGCCGGCTGCAATGCAGGCTAAGAAGACAAAGTGCACTGAAAAATGTAGGAAGGAGATGGAGCAAACACTTGAGGCCTATAAAATCCTGTTAGCCTGGGATGTTGGCCACATCTAGCCGCACATCCCTATAAGCCTACTACTCGCAAGTAGCCCCACCCCGGAATTTCCTAATAATGAATTATATTTTTGTTTTTCTTCACCAAGCGACACACCTCAATTATAAACCAACACAACTATCCACTTACTTTGATAAATATCATTCTTTTTATTATACTTTTTTCCAAAACAAATGCATTATCTCTATAAATAATGAATAATCATTTTAGTTTTAGAATTTGCTATAGAGTGATTTTAGTTGAACCGTGAAACAGATACTAACAAATAGTGTATAACAGTGCATAGTATTCTACTACCTATTTCACGGGTTATGTAAAATCACTCTATAAAGATACTCTATGATTATGAACAGCATTAAGTTCTGTTTCATCATATTTTTGATAAATATTATAAAATAATAAACTGAGATAACATGAAAAGGGACTGATCATCAAACAAAATCTTAAAAAGTTAAATAAATAAATTTCTTCTCTTACACACCATACATGGAAAACAGTGCAGAGAAAATATCTGTTAATTCTTTATGTACCTCTTATAGCAATAAATGAGTACATCTCAAAAAAGTGAAGAAAATCAAATTCAATAAAATATTAAAAGCTGTTAAACAAATGTACAACAATTTAAAATATTCCAAACCGGAAGTGATAAATATTTCCTATCAATTGGGTAAACCGCCCATAGAAGACAGAAATTTTCAAATTAACAATCTTTTATACAAAGCTGTATAAAGGAAACAGGAGATAAATTACTTGCGTATAAATCTTTGTTCAGAGGGACCTATTCCTAATTAATTGACCATTAAGTACTGGGTATACCAGAGAACGTATCAAAATTCACAAGTAAAATAGTCCCTCAAGTAAACCAGGATGAAATGGATCGTCCGTGCTCAGTAACGCACCGATTTCTTCTTCTAGAACATCCAAATCTAAACCGTACTCGATCTCTTTCAACAGCCCATCTACCTCCTCAAATGATGGCAACTCGGTTAATTCCAGCGATAAATTGTTCAGAAAGTCTTCCGCTTCAGTCTCCCTACTGGGTACCCTCTGCGGTGTTTGCGGAATAACACATGTTCCGTGAACTTCACTGAAAGCATTACCATCGCCACTTGACTTGAAATTAATCGCTTGTACCTTGTTAACCACATCTTCTTTATCGTTAGCAGATTCGATTTTCTCCGAGGCTTTTCCAGTTATTATAGGTTCTTCGAATGCGCTGAGTTTCCTCCTCTTTGAATGCGAACAAAGGCAGAAGTAACTTGAACATACTTCGCTACAAATTCTACGTACTGTACATTCCAGCACGGCAGCCACGTACATGTTCGGCTCTCGCTTGCGTTTATTTCGTTGTTGTTTTTTTACCGCAGACTGTACAAACTGCTCGTGCTCCTCTCGTTTTTCTTCTGTCAAGCACATCTGTCACATCTGTTGGCGACTCAACCGACCAAGGAAAAGGAAGTCGTAAGCAACAATAATTTTTCACTAGTCCTTTCTTTGCTGGTAGAGTGATTAAACCAAAAACGATGGATCCTCCTCTAGCAAAAAAGTAAACATTTTCTCAGATTCAGTGCGCACAAGTGTAAAATTTAAACTTCAAATCCCGGGCTTCAAACTGTCCGAGTTGTAATGTTGTTCACTTCGGCGATCGATCGGGCACCGCGCGCCAAAACGAAACTTGTTTTTACGATGAATCACTTTAAAGGAAACAAAATCCTTTAGGAAACAATCTTTTATCACTTAAAACTAAAGTTACGTCGAACCAGATAGCAAGAATGGTGTAATTTGACAGCGGGGCAAAGAGATTCACGTTTCCTTTCCCCGCTTGTTTCTAGAAATTCCTTGAAACTCCCAGAGTAATGACGTTTATCCGTTTTTGTTGCCATGGCCACATTTGACTGACATCCTATTGACCAATGAAATAAGTGGGTTTTTTTTCGTTTTCAGGGAAAGACCCTGAAGCGACCTTGACCTCCAATGCACAGCAGAAAATACAACGAAAATGCAAAATTTCGTGAGTGGCGGACGTGATTCAAGGGCACGTTTTCACACAGGCTAAAGAACGGGCAGTCCGAAAGCCGGATGGAAAGTTAGAAAGCCTCAGTTTTAAGCCAAAGAATACATACTAGCCTCGATTAGTTTCCCAAAGCAATAACGAAAATACAGTGCTTTCATTTTGAAAACTCATTTTGCAAGGCCTCTAGCCGCCTCGAACAAGACTCTTACTGGACTCGACACAAAAAAATGACTCTAGGGTGCTTTCCATTTGTCAGAACTGGACCACTACCGGACCAGTCGGTTAGCAAATGAAATCGGATTTTTTCCAAGAGTTTTTCCTGAAAAAAACCATCTCCTTCGTGCATAAATTAAGATTTGACTCAGCTGGCTGTATAGTTTTGATTAGAAGTGAAATTCTCGTTCTGACAAATGGAAAGCGCCCTTAGAAAGCACTCCGCCAAGTTTACAAATATTTTATGAATTTCCCTCAGGGGCGTAGCGTAACCATTTTGGCAAGGTTGGTAAGTACACAAACGGATAACGTTTTTGCCCACCCCCCGGGGGGGTTTGCTTTCCTTTAGGGACGGACCAGAAAAGTTATGGGGGGGAATTTTCGAGCAGCATGAATTTTTTGTCCTTTAATGTTTCCCTAGAAAGATTATTTTTTTGTCAAGATGTTGTGCACGAATATTTTTTTCCTTGATGTAACACTAAACTAAAAAAATATTAAATCATTCAGTTGTCCACTTAGCCAATAGTCTCCCTCGCAGCCGTTTTTTTGGATGTCACGCAACGCTCCCCCAAAGCGTTGCGTGACATCCAAAAAACGGCTGCGAGGGAGACTACTTAGCCAAGGGCATAATTTAAATATAGGCGGCACGTATGCGAGAGTAAATTGATACATATTCTAAGGTACAGGTACACAATGGCATTTTATACACAAGGTATCCTATATTGTACGTACATCTACATTGGTACTGTGCAAGTTCATATTGCTTTGCTGAAATTTTACATATACATATATGGGCTCCTGAAAGCATTACGAACAACAAGTCACGGTAGGAATGTTTCAGGCTCAAACATAAAAGTAGCCAGTGTTAGTTCATCACTGGCCACAAAATAA